GAAAGTAAAAACCAAGAATAATTATGACAGAAACTTAAGTACTTGATTGCAAGCATTAACCACATCATTTGGGGGTAGCTCCTCCGTCCCAATTTCCAGGATAAAAGTCCGAGGTTCTGTAGAAACCTATAGCAAAATAAAAAGGAATATTTAGATCTGCTCTACTGTATTAAACTAGTACATGATCAAAAGCGAGACAATAAAGAGTCAAATGGCATGCTACATCTCTCAAATTTGGGTCAATATAACAAAATATTCCATACAATGATACAAAGCACAAACAATGTAAAGCTGACACTCTACCAAAAGCTTGTAAGAGTCTCCGTAAAATAACAGCCCCATATGAATAAAAATCGCAAGAAATATATTAAACGAGCACTATGTTTTATAGGTTCGAGTAATCAAAACTTAACGCAAAGAAAAGGAGCAGCTAACGATTTACAATATCAGAGAGGTAAAAATGGCGGTCAAGGAAAGTAAGACCGTATATCTTCAAGAAGCTTTTAGTGCGATGAACATAAGGTTTTAACTCAAAATCACCAGGATTGACAGGGCAACACACCACTTATAAATGCTTAATTGCAGGTAAAGCCAGTTTCAAGACAATTATGGAGATCCCCGGTGGGAGTGTGACGACAGGATTCGTATCTTAATATCTATTGGTAAGAATCACTGCTTTGCTTAAATAAATGGATAATTCACCCGCCTCTACCAGTGAACGAATTCTAAAATTCATTTTTTATAATGAACTCTTCCAACAGGCATCAATAGATGATTTTCATCAATTTTGAAAGTTTTGAGTTCTAATATATTCATGAGTTATGTTTCTGCTAGATATTTGCATTTTATGAAATCCAGATATATTGAAGTTTAAGAATGAAATGAGAATCAATAAATGAGATCCATATTGCCAAAGACGACTGACATGGTACTAGTATATAAGTGATACAAACAGAAGAAGTTATCTCCAGCACCTTTTTCTTCAGTTCCACCATGTCTTCTTTCTGAAAGCCAAGGTGATCAGGATGAGAAGCAACACCCAAGGGGTGCCCAAGAGATTCTCTTGTCTTCAACCATAGTTGAGCACATTGACGGGCTAAACTACATGGATGGGAACAATAATTTTAATGATTTTCAACTTGGTAACTGTCACTATGAAAAGAAATATAATTGAAGAGTGTAGAAGGCACCGGAAGTGAATTGAAAGTTAAGTTAGATACTCATAAAATTTTATAGATTAAGTGGCACTAGCTAAATCAGAGAGCAAAACAGAGAGTACCTCAGGAAGTAACCTTCGCAGATTTTATTATTAAGAAAAGAGTTAATTACTCTTAAACTCATAATGCACAAACATTACTGTTGTTAACTGTCTCTGATTATCTTGTATTACATAATAATAAAAAAAAGTATGACAAACCTACGCATACGACCGAAATAGCGGGCACGTTCTGTTACCCCAACAAATCCTCTAGAGTCTAAGACATTGAAAGCATGAGATGTCTTCAAAAGCTGATCATACCTAACATGAAACGAAACACAGAGGTGCATGTCACTACAAGGTTAAAAGAAAACAGAGACTTCCTGACATGCGTCATTTTTACATGCATTTTGTAGTGATTTTTATGTCCGTTTCGTCGTACTTTGATATATAATTAATTATTAGTTAATTANTGGACTTATTCGAGCTCGATCACACTATAATTGATCCAGATTGTACTAATTTTACTTCAATTGGACTAATTTGAGTTCGATTACACTACAATTAACCGAAATTGTACTAATTTTACTTCAATTGGACTAATTCAAATTCGATTACACTATAATTAGTCTAATTGATGTCAAATTAGTACAATCTCAGTTCGATTACACTACAATTAACCGAAATTGTACTAATTTTACTTCAATTGGACTAATTCAAATTCGATTACACTATAATTAGTCTAATTGATGTCAAATTAGTACAATCTCGGTCAATTATAGTCCAATTGAAGTTAAATTATAGTGTAATCGAACTCGAATTAGTCCAATTGAAGTTAAATTAGTACAATCTCGGTCAATTATAGTAAAATCGATCTCGAATTAGTCCAATTGAAGTCAAATTAGTACAATCTCGGTCAATTATAGCGTAATCAACCTCGATTCAGTCCAATTGAAGTCAAATTAGTACAATCTCGGTCAATTATAGCGTAATCGACCTTGAATTAGTCTAATTGAAGTCAAATTAGTACAATCTCGGTCAATTATAGTGTAATCGCCCGTTATCTTTTAAAAAACAAAAAATTAAAATAAAACTTAAAAACGGATTTTGAAAATCCGTTTTTAAGTTTCTTTTTTTTTTTTTTTTTTTTTTAATTTTTAAATAAATAAAAAATAATAAAAAAATAAAAACAGATTTTCAAAATTCGTTTTTAATTTTTTTTTTAAAAAAAAATTAAATAAATAAATAATAAATAAAAAATAGAAACAGATTTTCAAAATCTGTTTTTTAACAAAAAATAAAATAAAATTAAAATAAAAAATAATAAATAAATAAAAACGGATTCTAAGAATCCGTTTTTCCTTGAAACACGGATTCTCAGAATCCGTCTGTTTTATTTTTTTCCACAACTTTTTTTTTTATTTTTTAATTTTTTGCCNACATATTTTTATTTTTTTTAAATAAATAAATGATTCTATGTGTTATGGTTGAAAAATTAATTAATATAATAAAGTGTTTGATGAAATCAACTGATAAATTAGCTGAAATAAAATTTTCAATAGACTTATTTGAAAAACTAAAAAAATAAACTTATGAGATAAGTTTGAAATTTTTAAAAAAATCCGTTCTACCAAATAAAACAAAATTAAATTTAATAGATGAAGCTTATAGGCAAATACAATCTATATCACCTTTTTAATTAGATATCGCTTACTACATAAGTTATAAGTTTTTTTTTATATAAATAAAATTTGTTTAGTAGAATTTTTTTACATAAAGTTTGAACTTATCTCATATAAAACCCAATAAAGCCGACAGTTGGACTGACAAACTCATCCCACTTACTGAAAGTCCAATGCGAGAAACGGGTAAGAGCTCGACCAGCCCAATCCACTTGCTCAACAAGGCATACGTTATCCATTCAATTCTGGTAGAAAATACAGTTTTGTAGGCATATATAAAGCTAAAATAAATATCCTAATACCTGGAGCTTTCAGATAAACCTCACTCTTCACTGTGTGTTGCGGCTAGGGTTTCGTTCTCTATCCTCATCTTCCCTACACCTTTAGTTATCATTTTACAGTTCACAGATCTGCCGATTATGCTGAAGATAATGACGATTGAAGAGTTAATTTAGCGGTTTGTGTTCGAATAATCTGAGAGCCAGCGTTTGGTGCTGCTGAGGTCGATAATGGCGACGCTTAATCCGTTTGATTTGCTGGGCGATAACGATACGGATGATCCGTCGCTGCTGATTGCTGCTCAGCCGCAGAAGGCCGAGCCGAAGAAAACCTCGGGTTCGTCGGGGAAACCGGCGGCGGCAGCAAAGGGGCCACAATCGCAGAACAAGGCGGCTGCAGCGCCCAGGCTTCCCTCCAAGCCTCCACCGCCAGCTGAGGCTGGTTAGCTCTTTCTCTGACTCACTCTTTAATGATCTGATTTTTTTATTTATTTATTGTTCGTATATATTGATTTTGTATTTGTTATCTTTCTCTATTGTATGCACTCTCGAGTATTTTTGTAATCTATGTAGGGATAACTGTTCTGTTAATGAAATGGAAGGTTACTGCAGCATGATATAAAATGAAAAGTTAAACAACCAATTATGTTTTGATTATCTGATGTTGTGATATCTGAACACAATGACGTCTCTTATCTTCAAGATGTGCATCATCAACTTAAAAGTTTATCAGAACCTTTTATGTTGGATTTAAAACAGCTGTCTGTTGAATGGTAAGCACTCACTGAATAAAGCATCCTTTGAGATTCCATATGCTGTCATGGGTGTTCCTTAGAATGATTCATGTCATCCTCATATAAGTAGCTGCTGCCACCATGTACTTAGCAGAGGCAGAGGTCCATTTCACTGTAGTTGCCGTAGTTGCTTGAGCAATGAGTTAATCGGGGTATCAGAAAGTTGGATTTGCTTATGCTCTACATGTTTTAAATGAGAGCAATTAATTTTATTTAGAATGTCTATTTATTTGATTCGTCTAAAAGCATATTGTGACCTACCCGTTAAATGTCTCACACTTCAATGCTTCTATCTCAATGTAGTAAGAGAGGCAAAATCCGAATCTGCACGAGGTGGCCGAGGTGGTGGCCGTAGCTACGGGCGTGGTCGTGGTGGCGGCAGTGGATCTTACAGAGACTCTACCTCCAATGAGAATTCGTATGGCAACAGGGAAATATCTGTTGGTCAAGGTGCGCCCGATGTGTTTGATTCTGGAAAACCATATGCAAGGCGTGGTGGATATAGTGGGCCCCGTGGGCCCTTACGTGGTGGCCGCCAGGGTGGTTTCGGCAATGGAGATGGAGAATTCCGTGATCGCAGGGCATACGAGCGGCGTAGTGGAACTGGGCGAGGGTATGATTTATATATTACCTGTTGAGAATACATACACATATATGTTATTTATGCATGGACTTTATTTAGTACCGGATCCATATTCTAAGTTGCTTACCCATTTTGTGCACAGAAATGAAATCAAACGCGAGGGAGCTGGCCGAGGTAACTGGGGAACACAGACTGATGAACTCACTCAGTGAGTATTCCCTTTGTTGAGATAGAATTCGTTGATGCACTATCGTGAATTTGTACATGTTTTCCTTACCTCCACCTTGTCTGGCTATTAACTTTTGTCTTCGTTGTTTTAGAGTGACCGAGGAAGTTGTCAATGAAGGTGAGAAAACAGTGGATGTGGAAAAGCCCTCAGGAGAGGATGCTGTTGCAGCTGATGGAGACAAGGAAGCTGCTGCAAATGAAGTTGAAGAGAAGGAACCTGAGGATAAGGTGAAGCAATTTATGTAATATTATATAATGATCGCTACCTGTCGTTGCTTTTATTTTAGAGAATGTGTCTATTTCCTGTTAGGTGCCTTAAATACTAGATGAGCTGGACAAATGCAAAATTCATTACAATTCATGGTTGAACCTAAGTGAGACTACATATTGTAGCCTTATTGTTGTGTATGATGTGAAGTTGATTGTTACNAACACCTCAGTGGGTTTGTGGAAATATGGTTACTAAATAAATTTACTTGTCCAAACGTATCAGTTTGTTAATTGACTTTGAGTTTGCCTGAGATAACCAATTCATTTAAACTGCAGGAGATGACATTGGAAGAGTATGAGAAGCTTCTGGAGGAGAAAAGGAAGGCCTTAGTGGCCCTTAAAACTGAGGAGAGGAAGGTTGACACAGAAGAGTTTGAATCCATGCAACCACTTGCAAACAAGAAAGCTAACGATGATATATTCGTCAAACTGGTGAATCCATTTAACTCCCTACTGAATGAATTAGTGATTGTCACTGTCTTGATTGCCTCTTGATCGATTTTCCTGCTATTGATGTCTGGAAATATGATTCAGTGTCACATAATTTACTCCTTGTTTGCAAATAAACATCTACTTGTGTCAGTTGTTGTGTGTAGGTTAAAATGATTTAAAGTTGTTGACATACATAGATGTTTGCTCTCTTATACCTTGATTTTTATTGTTCATTTACAGATCTATGATCTATGTAAAAACTCATTGGAGTAATGAGAAGTGTAACAAATACTAATCAAGTTCATCTTTTTTACCAACCAATTTATGCTTTACAAGCTCATTCCGTAAAAACCGAGCTCGAGTTGCTTTTCATGTGGACTATCTATCTATCAACACACTACACAAATTTGACCAATCTAAAAATTGCAAAAACATTAGTATTGCATAGAATTCGATCTTCCCTTTTGTACTTCAAAAGTTGACGATTTATCTGCATTGAACCCAGCGACCGTCTTTGGCGACCCCAAAACCAATGACGGACAACGAAAATAACTTAATCGAGATATTGGACGAAAATACCCCCATAGACACGAACAAGTACATAGATTTCGTCCAATCCCCACAATGTGGGGCCATCGCGACTTTTTTCGGCACGACTCGCGACACGTTTGACGGGAAGACCGTCTTAGAGCTGAGGTACGAGGCGTACATTCCCATGGCCATACGTTGCATCAAATCAATATGCACTTCGGCTAGGGCTTCGTGGGCCCTACACTCGATGGTTGTGGCCCACCGTGTGGGCCCAGTCCCAGTTGGGGAGGTGAGTGTGTTCGTCGCAGTCTCATCCGTGCACCGGTCGGACTCACTCGACGCGTGTAAGTTTGTGATCGACGAGGTGAAGGCTTCGGTGCCGATATGGAAGAAAGAGGTGTACGCGAATGGGGAGGTTTGGAAGGAGAATTCGGAGTTCTTGGAGAGGAGGGGTGGGCCCGGCCCGATTGCTGCGCTGAAGGGCCCGGAGAGAGGGGGATGCTGTGGCGCTAAGGTGAAGGTGAATGCAGTCGAAAAAGTAGAATGAAATGTGTTGCAGTTGTCGTGTTATATGGTTTCATGGTTCTAAACGTGTGTTATGTTTTTGTTATGTTCAGGAAAGTAGAATGAAATGTGTTGTTGTCTAATGAGTGGAATCATCACTGTGAATCTAAAAAGGATGTTGTAACTTATATCTGAAATCAAATTCCTCAGATGGGAATTTTTTTA